CTACAAATCTTGCTTTTATAATGAAATGACCCCACAGGCAAATCCGAAGTCTGTTGGGGGAACAATAATTTCATTAATAATTACAACTAGTCCAAGATGCCCCACAATCCTTCCTGCCCAGCCCTCCAGGTCTTCTCACTCAGTTACTGGGTGAGGATGGAAAATAGCGCAAAAAAGCCAAGGAGGGCAGCACAAAGTATCTCAATCATTTCAGCCTTTTCTGGGTTTCCTATTTCCAACTTAAACCAAAGGCACTTGGGTTACATGCACACACACACACACACACACACACATGATTAATCTAGGATGTAGTTTCCTTTTAGAGACCTAAAAACCTCCTGAATCAACTCCAACAACACTTCACCAGACTCTCTTTGAAAGGAGCAGACGAATGAGTTGGACAGAAAACTTTTTGCTTGGAAATTTCCTTCTCAGATTGCAGATTTAAGGGGAGCGCCTGCCAAATGTTCAGCAAAGCTCTGCATGGTGGCTTCTGGCAGGGACTCTCTGTACCCGCAGTTAAATGAAGGTTTCCCTGCATCACCGACTTCTCATTCTTCATCACCTGCTCTGTCCCCACCCCCCCCTCCTCCTTCCCACACCAAGGTCTTCTAAACAACTTGGGAAGAGAGAAAAACAAAACCAAAACTAACTGAACTAACTGTGCGGGACGCCATGAGGCCTTCCCTGGACAGACCTTCTCCCTTGTCTTCTGCTTTAGTTCGTCTCTGAAGCACCTAGATGATAATACTTGATGCACATTTCCTGAGTTGTTTTTGCAGATGGAATCTCTGCTGCCCCCCAACCCTCACCCCCAAATGGAAGATGTTAACTACTCGATGATGGTGGGCACATAGCCCCAGGCCTCCTGGAGCCTAAGCACCCACAATGTTCACCCCTGTGACACCACCCTGCTATCTTACCACCAACCAATCAGAGAATTGTGTAGGAGCTGATTACAGACCCTGAAATTCCCCCTCCTTCACCTGGCTTTTATTTTCAACTTTTTATTTTGTATTGGAGTATAGCCAATTAACAATGTTGTGATAGTTTCAGGTGCTCATCAAAAGGACTAGGCTATACATATATATGTATCCATTTGCCTCCGAACTCCCCTCCCATCCAGGCTGCCACGTAGCAGCGAGCAGCTACTACCTTGTTGGTTATCCATTTAAAATATAATGGTGTGTACATGTCAATTCCAAGTCCCTATCTCTTTCCCCCACACTTCCTCCCTAGCAACTCTAAGTTCATTCTCTAAGTGTCTCACCTGGCTTTTAAAGGTGCTTTGCCAAAACCCTTCAGGGAGCTCAAAGCTTTTTAGGTGAGAGCTACTTCTCGCACAGCCCTGCATGACACCTCACTCTGCTCCAGATTCCCGTGTTTCAGTCTGTTTGGCCTCACTGCGTGTCGGGCACACGAATTTGCATAAACAGGAGTCCATTGGTGGATGTGAAAACTCAGATCTGCTGATTGTCAGTGCTGGAGTGGAATCCCTTCCGGATCCATCTGTGTTTAGCCTTGGTAAATATTACTGAACAGTACTCCAAGGTGGTGGTACCAGTTATACTCTGCCTTGACTGACACCATGACTTCATATTTCTTCAGACCCAATTTTGACAGGTGTGTAGTGTACCTCTTTGAGGGTCTGACTGGTCCTTCTCTGATGAGAATTGATCTTGAACACATGTCAAGGGCCGAAGGGATATGTCAGGTATACAGTGTTTGTGTGAATTGCCTGTATATTTGAAGTACCTATTTAAGCATTTTAACCATTCTTACCAAATGAGTTGTCTCTTTTCCTAAGTGATTTGTAGTTCTTTTTACATTTTGGATGTGAGTTTTTTTTAACAATTATAGGTAATATTAATACAATTATCTTCCCCCACTCTGACGCTTTCCTTTTCACTCTCTTAATGGTATAATCTGATGAACAGATGATTTTAATCCTCATAAAGGAAATGTACCCGTATTTTATTTTATGATAGTGCTTGTTGGGTCCCATGTGGTACATTTTCGCCTTCTTCAGGTCTATTACGGGCTCCCCTGGTGGGTCAGCAGGTACAGAATCTGACTGCAATGAGAGAGACCTGGGTTTGATCCCTGGGTTGGGAAGATCCCCGGGAGAAGGGAAAGGCTACCCACTCCAGTACTCTGACCTGGAGAATTCCATGGAAAATTCTGTGTATAGTCCATGGGGTCGCAAAGAGTCCAACATGACCGTGTGGCTTTCACTTTTAGGTCTAAGACAGCATTTTAAAGAAAAGAATAGAGTGGGGATTATGTTAAAAGAGTCTGGGTACACTTAGGATCAAGCTGGCTGAATTATGACAATAAACAGGGGTGTCTCCCAGACCCCTTATCAGAGCCCAACCCACCCCTTCAAATTCTTCTTCCTTCATGACCTGCTGCCAACCAGCTCTGCCCACTCCCCTCCTCCCCCGCCCCCTCCCCCCTCCCTTTCAGGAAGAGCTGAGTTTTCATCTCTTGATAACGTCTTGGAGAGACTAGAGACTGAGTCTCCCTCTTCCACAATAACCATCAGATAGATCCAATTCAGGCAGACAACACAGAAATTACACTACATGGACAGAGTCATTCACCAGTTATATTTGAAATCTAAGCTCTTTGAGCTATACACGTGCACAAATGATTCAGTTGGTGGGAATCTTCCCCTCCCCCTCCACAGTTAAACTTTTCAAACAAAATAGTGCTGAATAGGCTTGCATCCTGTGGGTCAGGGGGATACTGAGGCAATTCTGACTTTCACGATGCTTGGAGGGGAGTCTTGTCTGTTTCCTCCCCATCTCTTGGGATATGTACCTCTCTCCACCTCCCCAAACCCAATCTCATGAGAGAATTACTTGATCTGAGATAGATTAACATCGACATTTTGCAATAAGTGTGGCCAAGACTAACCACCTGGGTCATACACTCCACTGAGTTTTTATTTTTTGATGACACACAATTGTCATTTCAACTTTGACTAAATTTGGTTGGAAATGTCTGATGGAACTGTTTTGAAACACTGAAAAGTCATTTCCAAATCGTTTCTCTCATCCAGATTTCTCTAGAATCTGCCTTTTTCTGAAAATTCTGAGTTGTTTAAAAAGTCAAAGAATCCACAAATGATTGAGTCAGCACAAAAATGGCTGAAGCCTGTAGTTCTCAGCTTGCTTCACTAGAGGGCAGCATTCTCCACTATTAGGTCTAATCTTGTTTGTCCATGAAAACCCAAAAACCTCCACAGCAAAGGAAAGTCAAAGCGTTTGCTTATTATATACTCCTCAGATTTTATTTTTCAAAGGAGCCTTCGTTTTTCTTATGGAAACTCAGGATTTTACAAGCAGCGCTGTCCTCAGTTTCATCTGTACTGTGTCCAGTACTATATTGCTATATTCACAGTAAAACGGACTTTTATTTCTGAGTATTCAGTCTCATGTTTTCAGTTTCTGATGAAACTAGCATACACCTTAATCAAAAACCACAACAATCCTTCCATCAGGTGGCTGTGTTACTGTTCTCGTGTGTTTTTCTGAGGCTTGGGTAGTGACAGTATTTCCCCACTCCGTTGTAATTGACATTTGCATCTAAAGAAAGTCACTGAACGTACAGGAGTAGATGAGGCCTGGCACATTGAGCAGAAGGTAATGGTTCTATAGGTGTATCTTCTGTAATGCACTTTGGGCTAGAGAAATAGAAAAATCACATGTAACAAAAACAAATACTTTTTTGAGCAATATGAGCATTGCATGAGTTGGACTTGCACACACATTTATGGATCCATCTTTCCCTTTGAACATGCTCAGCAGCTGCTATGTTGATTTAGCTGCATTCCAACTGCCTGCAGCTGACACTTGCTTCTTCACTTTATTTAAAAACAACTGGTCTTGATAGCAAAGATGTTGGCTAACTGTTTATATATTGGCAAGAGAAGTTTTGTGCCCTTTCAAAATTCAGCATTATACATAATAGAGTGTAATATTATCAGATTACCTGTATTAATATATGAATGCATTCATAAGCAATGCACATATGTTTTAAAGCAGCTAATGGCTGAAGAATCACTAAATAAAAAACATCCAGATTTTTAAAAGCACAGCTGAAACATTTGTACAAATATACAAAGAGAAGGAAAACAAACAAACAAACAATCGTTCAGACACCATGAGACTTTTGTAATAAATAGGTTTGTCTGAAATCGGTCTCTATCACCCTGGACAAGCCTCCCCAAGGAGGCTGGGAAAGATTGACAAGGGAATCATGTTTAAAATCTACTGAGGGTTATCTTTGGGGCCAAGCTCAGTTTTTCCTCCAGAAATTTTCACAGAGCTATGAAGTCTTTGACTCCAAAGAGTGACAATTACCCAGACGTGTTAAGCTGGAGGATGCTGATAATTTTGCTAACCTAGATAGGACATGACTGGATGCTGACAATCGGTGACTTATAGTATATCTTCAAATCACAAAAATAAATGCTGGTGATCATGCATGTCCTGGGAATGTTGGGATGCAGAGGACTGGGGAGACCAGATAGGGAAATCTCATGCAATCAAAGTCAAGTTTACTTATGGTCCTACTTAAGTGGCCAGGAAGAAAAAACAACGCACACACATCAGAACTGGGACTGGAACGGTTCACAAACAACACAGGAGCTATTTGTCACTATTTGTCTCCGGCTTGGATCCACATGAGAGCATGAAGGTATATAGGCTGTGCTGACCATTTAATAAGAAAATACTACTTTTTTTTTTTTTTTCCTAGAACCTCCTAAATAATGGATTATACTCGGTGGGTATGATATGATCAGGAAACTTATCACCTTTTCCTAGCCCTTTTGTCCGAGAGGCTTGATTACAACGAAGGAATTTCAAACAACCAAACACCCAGGGATTTAAAGGCAATTATTTTTTTTTTTCGACAAACAAACAACAGGGAGGAAAAAAAAAAAAGCATGGTAAAGAGTAGACGGATATTCTCTTGGAGGCGGAGTGGTGAGCTCAGTTGGACACGGAGGGCGGCAGGCCGGGACGTCGGGTCTGGATGATTTTTGGCTTCGGGGATGTCTTTGGATCCTCCTCCTCCTCGATGTCACTGTCGCACACATGCACGACGACGCTGGGGGTGGACTCCGTCCCTGCGTGAAGCTCATACTTTTCTCCTGAAAAGCAAGTGGAACGGGGGTGAGAAGGCGGGAGGGAACTCTAAATGATTATTTGGTGAAGTTTGTTTAGGAAGCGAGGGGGCATTTTAACATGTCCCAAGAGATGCTGGGAGATGGTGTCGGAAAGCGGAATGGGATGGATCTGTCTCCATCTCATGTCTACCTGCTGTCACCTGGACGGCCCCGGGCAGGCCCCCTCACCTCTCTAAGCTTCAGCCTCCACCGCTGTAAACTTCAAAATGGTAGTAACAACAGTCTGAAGGGTTGGGGTGATGACTCAGTGGGCCCGGCTGTAAGTTACCCATTTCTCTTCTATTTCCCAGCATGGCTGCTAACAGCTAACCTTGAACCCATCACTTGACTCCATCATCTTTTGGAGAAGGTCCTCCAAGTTCTCCTCCTTCTGGACAATTTCCTAAGGTAAGAGCTGCCCCAGGATGAGTAAGGTGGGATCCCCACTCATCTTGGATCTGCCATGGTTACCGGGTAATGGGGTTATTAGATGATAGTCAAGGCCCCTCCCGTTCCAAGAGTCTATCGGTCTATTTTTGACTGGCTCCTCTTGTAATCACTTCACTAGTAGCCGACTGACTTCCTGTCTGTATCTGTTTCCGTTCAGGAAGTATCTGGTGAGCATCTCCCATGGTCTGACCCATTGCTCATTACAAGACATAGTCAAAACCATTGGCGTCCTTCACACGAGCACAGTGCAGTGATGGCACATGGAAACAAAGTGTCACAAAATGCAATGGTTAAGTGCTAGGGTGGCAATATAAGTCAAGGGTACCAAATTGCAAGGAGCAAGTAACTCTGAAAGGCTTCGCCATGGAGGTGACAGCTGACCTGGGTCTAAAGACAAGTAGAAGGCATCCAGGAGGGGACAGGCACAGAGGACCTTATCAATCTGCACCCTCTTAACTTCTCAGCTTAACTGCTGACACACTTTTCTGAATCTTCTTCCGACATCCTATCCTTCGTTTCCCATCCTCCTTCACGAATGGGAAATAGCGAGAAGCAATCTCTCCCAGAGACCCACCTGGTCAGCAGCTCTCTAGATATCACTGGATCGAGTCATCACTTCTTAGACTCTAGGACAGAAGACTCTGCATCATCTCCCATCAGTTATGACAGCCACGTTTTTATACCCATCCAACCAGCTACTTTTATTTGCTATGCATGCATGCTAAGTCGCTTCATTCGTGTCCAACTCTTTGCTACCCCATGGACTGTAGCCCTCCAGGCTCATCTTTCCATGGGATTCTCCAAGCAAGAATACTGGAGTGGATTGCCATTCCCTTCTCCAGGGGATCTTCCCAACCCAGGGATTGAACCCGCACCTCTTGCATCTCTTGCATTGGCAGGCAGGTTCTTTACCACTAGCACCACCTGGGAAGCCCTTTATTTGCTATAGTCTCACCTGGTTTCCAAAATCCCACCCTCCCTCTAGGATCAAAGCCAGACACTGCCCAATCCAGGTATCTGGCCTGTCAGCCTCGATCTGCAGTGGACAGTGCCCTCGTGGATGGCCAGAACCAGGCTAGCATTTCTATGCTTCTGTGCACACCTTGGTGAGCATCAATGGTGAAAACAGCAAATGCTTACAAGGCATAGTTTTTAAGTTTTGTGCTGACATTAGGGAATGAGCAGCACTGATAATGCCACAAACATTAAGGTGATGCTGGGAACGATGTAAGTGTTCAGAGTCAGCTGCTGGATGGGTTGAACTGCATCCCACCCCTCCCAAGATGCTGCAGTCCTAGTCCCCAGTGTGTATGACTGCGACCTTCTTGGGAAATAGCATCTTTGCTGATGATTAAGTTAAAATGAGGCGATGAGGGTGGGCCCTATTTCATAAAACAGGGAAATTAGGATGCCTGCCTCATCCAAGGAGAACTCCACGTGAAGACCAGATTGTGTTGCCATCATCTGCGGATCGACCAGAAGCTACAGGAGAAGCCTGGACCAGATCCTTCTCCAGCACCTTCAGGGGGAGCGTGGCCCTGTCGACACCTTGATCTCGGACTCCTAACCTCCAGGACCTGAGGCAACACACTGCTCTTGTGTAAGCCACTCAGTTTGTGGTCCAGTTATGGCAACCCTATCAAATGAATACAGCCAGACCCTGCTAAGAGTGTTCCCTCTCTGGTAAGAGTCAGAGAAGTCGTAATTGGACTCCTCTGCCCACCAACATCCTAGATGAAGGTACTGGGTATTTCACAAAAATGAAGTGTGACACTTCCAGCACTTCCCTGGAACTTGGCAAGCAGCAGAGGGGGCAAGAACTAATCCGAACCACAGAAATACAGCTCATAAAGACTCCATAGGTTAGAGTCAAGATTGGGTGAAACTGTAGGTAGAAAGAGTTGCATCAATGAGGTTGACATCTCTGATATGGTGAGATGACGGGGCCAGTTTAGATTTAGGAGAGCAGAGTGACAAAACCAGGGGACAGGAACAGAACTAGAAGGAGATATCTGTGTGGGTTACTCCTGCGAGGCTTTGCTTCCCCACTGGGGAAGAGGGATGAACAGTCTACTAACTTCCCTGTAATCGACTGTAAAGTTGCTATTCCACACATACACGTAGTTGTGCTCCATACACTGATGCAACTCACAGATCATTTCATTGTGTTTGCTCCATTCTCTTTTAACAGCTTGCCATTTTATCAAAACCCCATGGGAAAAGAACCACTGCAGATGTTGCTAAGGAGAGGAAGCTCAGTGCAGCTGGCTCCACCTGAGAGTTTCAGGAGAGGCTCTGGGTGACAGGTGGGCAGACCTGGGTGGTGGCTTCTTTGAACAGTGGTTTTCAAATACTTGACAGTTTACTGGGTTGTTTGCTGGAAATAGAGTCTACCAGCAGGAGGATGCAAACCTGCAGCTGGGATGCAGTGGCATCTACTTTGGTACCCAGCACCCTCAGGTGCTTCTCCATGTTTCAGCAGGTCAGTAGCCATTCCCATACGGTTTGGTGTGACAGGCAGGGGGCTGCGGCCCTGGGAGGATGCTGGTGTGCAAGTAGCTTCCCCCTCCCTTCCTCCACTCTGCATCCTAATTTTTTTGTTGGAAAACGATAACAGTGAGGGGAGAAGGTAACAGAGCGAGGGATGCTGAGGATGTAGAAGGGAGAAGGCATCCCAGATCAGCTCTGCAGCCCCTCCCAGCCACCAGCACCCATTTATCTTTGGCGTCTCATCTTTGTTTCTGGGAGAACAGCAAAATTCTGTGGACAGGGATAAAGGTCACCATTCCCAGGATTTCTACAATTTTATCTCACCCCCAACCAGGACACTTTGCAAATCTGAATGAGAGACACCTTTAGACAAGAGGCAGAGAAAGAAATAATTTCTGAGTAATCAGATGAGGTGGTTCTTGTTTTTCTGCACAGGATTTCTTTAACGCTCTCACGTTTAGAGAAGCAGTGCCTTTTGTAGAGACACTAATGGCTCCTGTGGTCTCATCGGCAACGGATGGATGGATACAAGGGTGGATACAAGGATGAAGTGGGTGACAGTCTCTCATCCTCTGATGAATAGATGACAAAAAATGATCTGCCACGGCAGATGGAGACCGGGGAACCGGGGGTGAGGTGGTGACAGCCGGGACCCCGGCCAGGGGACTGACCAGATGCTCCCCCTTGCCTCGTCTGTTGGAAAGAAGCTAGCTTCCAGACCAAAAAAAAAAAAAGTAGTAAAATATACATAATGAAGGTGTTGATGAAACCCTTTCTTTGCCCTGACTTGGATAAAAAACATTCTCTTAGAGACACCTCTAGTTGCAATGCATTTATCCATTCCCAAGGAGATGCTTGCCTCTTGGACCCAGTGTGCTGGGGCCACACTTGGGACGGGGATCAGGCACAAGCAGACACCCGGTGCAGGGTAACTTTCACGTCGAGTTAACAAAGTCAGATTGCTTGGTCGTAGAGGTGTTTCCCTGCTGTGACCCCATTAACACTGACATTTCTCTGTTCTATTTCTGGAAACTTTCTTACTATCAAAATCCAGCAAAGCCCAACAGCTGCTGAGAGTCCACAGAATAAAAAGACATAGCTTTGGTTTTGCTGGATTGAATTGTTCTGTTTTGGGCCTTTTTCTCCCTTTGGGCTTCAGCTAATTCTTCTACCACAAAAGCTGATGTCAGTGCTGTCACTCTACTTGGGGACCCCCTGGGTTCAGGAGGTGACAAGGGACCCATGGGGCGGCCAAGCAGACCAGCGTGTCTTTTCAAGGACAAGCCAAGGCTCGCCCTTCACATCCTTATCTCTTCCCGTCTGTATTCAAACTGTCCTTTCCCTTTGGGAGGAAAGGAAGCCAGGGCCAGAAGCTAACAGAAAAGGCATGGATCAGAGTTTTCTACCTTCCGCCTCTGAGAAATTCACACTCTGTGAATTTCCAGCAAGCACATGCAAAATCCTCTGGCACATGGTCACACGTTAAATTCTCATGCAGGTCTTCAGAACTGTCGAGGGCTTGGGCATCGCTGAAAACAAGCATAGCTAAGTTTTAACTTTTCGGCTAAGCTGAAAACTACTGGAATAGGGCAGGTATTTGTCCTATTTTCTCTGTGCTCTTGATGCCAGGCCACAGGAGGCGTCACAGACACATGCCATCTGCCCCAAACACAGCAGCAGCTCCTCACTGAGCCCTTCGTGAACGCCAGACCACAGCTCCAAGGGCTTCACACAAATTGGGGGTTTAATTACAACAGCTCTGTAACGGGGGTTTCATCAAGTCTTGATGATATGGGAGGACACTGAGATCACGCAGGTCATGAATGGCAAAGTCAGGTTCAAGGTCAGGTCTGCCTGACTTCAAGGAAGGTGCTCATAACTCCTCTCCAGTTCTGCCTCTCACGATTCTACTGTTTTCAAATTCTGCAAGAAACTACTGAAACAGAGTCTAGTCTTAATATTCTTCCATGGCAGCTCATGTTTTTAGTGAATATTTGTTCTCTAGCTAAAGTGGACTACTTATTCCTTCTGTATCTTGTCTCTTT